AAAAGAGTCAGTTTGTTAGCTTCTGGGACAGAGAACAATCAGAGAAAGGCAGAGCGTAGATCTAGGGTCCAGCAACGATAATCAGCAGAGTGGCCGCTGCATTACCTGGGATGAAGCAGAGGATTTAATGTGCTCCCTGGTAGTCCCAGCCATGGCCAATGAACTCCCAAATGTGAAGTGTCACATTTTTAAGAATCACTAGAAAAAATGTTTTGGAACTTTACAATTTTTCTGAAATTGTGAAACAGATACTGGTTGTACTTACGTGAAAAAGAGGACATATCCTTTTACATGGACCACACCATTTTGCTGAAAATTCAACCACCACAAGTTTGTGTCCAGCAGCTTTCAAAAATGTTTTGAATTCATTCTGAAACCAGAACATAAGTTAGGAAATGTGTATGCATAATCACTAAATCTCTTATATTCTTGCAGACAACAAAATGACAAGATAGTTTTGTAAAACCTTAACCAGGTGTCCCACCCTACTGTTCTTTGGCTGACTCAACCTTTCCTAAATGTCCCAAGGGTCAGATATATTTCTCTTTATAAGTAAGTACATACAAATGATAACACACACACACACACAATTAGAATTCTGTTCACAAAATGGGTGAGTAATGGCGGTTGGTAAAATGGTGGTTATCTCTGGAGAGAAACTGAAATTAGTCAGGAAGGAATGACGACTGGTGAAGAGGGGTAAACTGCTGTTCAAGGTGTTGATTTTTTAAAAAGTAAGGGCCTGGACATGAAACAGAAGAAATCTAACACTTTGAGTCATTTTAAAATTTTGTTTGGTTTTATTTTTGTCATTGAAGGGTGATCATTATCAAAGCTACAGATAAAACCAATTTAAGAACTTGACATGCTTTGCATAGAATGTTTTAAGTGAATTTTATCAACTGTCGCTATCATCTAAGTAAAATTTTCCTTTCTGGGACTTTAGATTACTGTATCTGTATTTGTTTGCTTTATAAAAAGTAGCTGTCCTACCCTAGTTATTCCATGCATGGTTTATTTTCCCTGGTTCCTACAGGACTCAGTTCTGATTTACACCAGTACCCCTCCTGTTCCCTAACTGGCACATGGTGAAGGGTCATAGAGTATTTATTTGATGATGAGTGATTCTGTTCAAAATTGATGTTTCATTTTCTCACTGAATTATAATAATCTTAGCTAATTTAGTCTGTGCCTGATATTCTCTCAAATAAACTTTATAGTCAGCCTATGGAATGCATGCTATAATTATCCTTACAGATGAAAAAACTGAGGTTTGTTAAACTGAGGTTTTTTCATGGTCAACCTGCTGGTGCATGGTGGAGCTGAGATTGCTAATCTAGGCAGCTTGACTCCAGAGCCTATTTCCTTAACTACTGTGCAAAATCATCTCTCAGGTTCTTCATAGTAATGTATCTCTCTCTCACTCTCTCTTTTTGGCCTTAATTCATCAAGTGCTCATCCCTGTACCAGCCATTAAGATTGAGGATCAGGGGAGAAGTGAGATAATAAATTGGCTTAAGTCAAGTAGGGCCTATTTCCATTAGAGATGGGGTTAATTTCATACAAAGGGCATGCCTCCTCTATAGTAGGGAAGTTTTGACAATTAGGTTGCTATTGAGTTTAATTTCAAGGGAATGAAACTGGTAACTCAAATAAGATGCACTCTCTTCCCTTACCAATATTCCCATAAGATGGGGTAAGATAACACTTTTCAGAGAACCATGCCAAGCCTCCGTTAAACTTACTTCTGAAATGATAAGGTAGATGCCATCCTCACAAGTTCCCAACACCATTTACTTCCTAGTAGTTGTTGCTGGGTGTGAGTTGGTATAACTTGACTCATGTACTTGACTTGGTTAAATTATCTGAAGTAGATACTCCCTTAGCATAATATTTATTCAAGAGGAACCTATTGATACTACTCTGCCAGGCACTGTATGAGCGGCTAGGATACAATTGTGGACAAAAAAGCAGACAAAAAATTTCTGTCTTTATAGAGCTTACATTTTAGAAAGTAAAAGTGATGGGAAGGCCAGTGGTAAAATATGTAGTTAGTGATGAGTGCTAAGAAATAGAAAACACAGACAATGAAGGAGGAAAGAAGAACAGTGGTTGGATTAACTATTATAGTCTAGATGGCCAAAGTGCACTTTAATGAGAAGATGACATCTAAATAAAGATGGGAAGGAGACAACAGGTCCTCAGGAAAGGTCTCTGTGAAGAGAAGAGAGGGTGTCTCAGAGGAAGAAGTCTCTGGATAAAGATGGGAAGGAGACAACAGGTCCTCAGAAAAGGTCTCTGTGAAAAGAAGAGAGGGTGTCTCAGAGGAATAAGTCTCTGAACTATTTTGTGAGATCTCTGGAAAATGTAAAAAATAAGTACTGAACATATAAACAAATGTGTGATACTTTAAAACACTTTCTCGGGGCCAGTAGTTGGCATAATGGCTGTGTCGCTGGACTTCCATGTAGTCAAC